CTTTCACAGCTGCCCTTTCCAATCCTAGTCTTCTTCTAATTTCCTGACTGCGGTCTCCTTCCTGGTCGATGTTTGATCCAAGGTACCAGATTTCTTTTACTACTTTGATTTCCTCATTGTCTAGGTCTAATGTATGTAGATCCTCTGTAGATATATTAATTAATTCTGGACCAGCTGCCTGAAAGGCAGTTGAGAAAGAGTGTGGGGGTGTATTTATTCTAATACACACTTTTATTTCAAAAACCAGATTAGGAAAGGATCTTGCCTAGGCCACTAAAATATTACTAAACAATGAACCAGTGCAATGGGCAGAGATGATGTCTATAAAGATAAGAAAGGCAAGTCTCTATTTTGAGACTTTAGTAACTATAGATCTCTTGGCTATAACACCTGGCCATGATTATTTTTGAACTTTTCTTTCTTCTCCACACCCCCTCACACCCCAAGTATTGTAAAACTTATGTGAAGAGTTCTGAAGGACTAAAAAACTTCCATTTTTATGTCTTTTCAGTGGTCTAATAAATATATCACCCTACTATGATTTTTTTTATTCACTGACCACACAGCTATGTTTCTTTTTTAATTTTGACTTCAAGGAATGCAACCACAAGGCCCAATAAGGGTGATCACATAACATGAGTGCATGCCTTTAAATATGACACAGAAACATCTGCTTGCTGCAGAACAGTGATTCCCAAACTTTGGTCCTCCAGGTGTTTTGGACTTTAACTCCTAGATTTTCTAACCCAGTGATTCTCAAACTTTGGTCTTTCAGGTGTTTTGGACTTCAACTCCCATAAACCCCAACCACCTAGGACAATAATCAAGAATTCTGGAAGCTAAAGTCTAAAAATCTGAAGGACCAAAGTTTAGGAGCCACTCCTAGAAGTTGTGCATGAATTCCTCACCAAACTAGTCAAGAGCTCTCTTCCCACCACATGTCTCCTGAGTGGGGAGCCTGGATGGCCAGCAGGGTCATAGCAACTAGTTTTGAATCAAGATGGCCAAATGTAGCATCAACACTATACAAGTCAAGTAGAGATTGTTCTCATAATATGAACCCAGGTGTGGCCAAGTATTCTACTCCCTCAACTTCAGCTATGTTTTTAGTCTATGTATGGACTGTGAGGTCAGAGCATTGTTAATGTAGAAAGGGATCCCAGATGCCAGAAAGTTTGAAAACTATAGATCTAAAAACAATTGAAGGCAGAAAGGAAAGTGATAGTGGTTTTCCTATTGCAGATGGGGATTAATGAGTAAATGCCACTGCTGGAGAGCCAGTGTGGTGTACTGGTTTGAGTGCTGGACTACAACTTTGGAGATCAGGGTATGATTCTCCAGTCAGCAATGAAACCCACTGGGTGTCCTTGGGCAAGTCACATGCTCTCAGCCTCAGGGGAAGGCAATGGCAGACTCCCTCTGAACAAATCTTACCAAAAGAAAAGCCATGATAGGGTTGCCTTAGGGTCGCCATAAGTCGGAAATGACTTGAAGCCACACAACAACAACAACAACAACAACATTTTCACTAGCAGTAATTGTGCTGCTGTAGTACATTGGCTATCAATCAAGATATTTTTCTGCTGCTGCAAAGCAGATGATCTCACATTGATATCTCTGCTGTTTAATTCTGCTTTACTCAATCTCTGCATTTTTCACTGTTTTGCTTATTGTAGAGAGGTCACATATGTTTTGGGTGATTCTGGTGTTTTCTTCGGGAGGTCTGTCATTGCCATTCTCTGGAGGTGAGATAGTGTGACTTGCCCAAGTGGGTTTCATGGTTCAGCAGGGATTCATACCCTGGTCTTCAGAGTCATAGTCCAACACTCAAACCACTACACCATGCTGGTTCTCTTGAATGAATATTATGACATCTTAAAGCCATCCATAATTGAGCAGGGGTAGGATGGGGCCACTCAACTCAGATCATGGTCTTCCCAATGCTTTGTAATAGATGTCTTAATCATGACAATTGTATTCATTCTGCTCCAGTTGCTATGGCATCTCAAGTGTCACTTTGGAAAAGAATAATAAGACAGTGGGGAGGAAGGAAAATGCCTTGCAGAATCATTTAAAGTCAGCTGGAAGGAATTCTAAATTGCAGGCATACCTATGGTTGCGTACCACTCCACCATAAAGTTTTGAAGCTCTGATTCCACAAAAGAGAAATGAATTAAAGGAGTGACCTAGAAAATGTTCTTTCCCTTTGCAATACATACTCCCACACCTATTAAGAACTTCTGACCAGCCCTGACTTTGAATCCCTCAGCAACTCAGAGCAGAACTGAGGAAGCCTCCAGGACAGGGTAACCAGATCTCCTAACCACAAAGAAGGACAAGGCACTGTAAAATGTAGAACATTCAAGAAAAATTGACACTACAAAATAAAAGCTAAAAACACTCATAGAAATATAAATTCATGCTTCTTAGTCATGCTTCAAATGAAGGACATTTTGAAATTCCTCCGGGACAGAAGGTTGAAATGTGTCCTGGAAAAGGAAGATGCCTAGTCACCCCAAATAGATGACATTTTGGAATTCCTCCTGGACAGAAGGTTGAAATGTTGGACATGTCTTGGAAAAGGAGGATGTCTGGTCACCCAGCTCTAGGAAAGTGTCTTCTTTGAGCAGGAGCTCTCCTGCCAAGAGCTGAGGAAACTGGCCACATTTGGTTGCAACCCCCCATGTGGATTCATGTCACAATCTTTTCCTCTCTAGGATCAGGTTTATTACAAATGCATTCTACCTTCTAATTATAGACTGATTATCTTGACTGACATATTGGCAAAATGGCAGGCCAAATAAATATCAGTTGTCAAAACTGGAGAATTAAGCAAGGCAGATCATGTCATTTAGAAGATTAAGTTGGCTTTAGACTGAGATGCTCTACCAAAGATTTATACATGAGCATTTAATAACCAAGTACATCAGTATTAAGTACCCTAGTTTATATGTTGCTTTGTGGATTTAAAAGCAATTGTGCACACTGCAGAGACATTTTCTAACCCAATCTCAACAATTTTGAGGGGAGGGCACTAAATTAAGCAGCATATATTAATTCATAACGTGATGCAAGTTGAAAATTATTGATATTTGTGAGATCTTGTTCTCTTGTTTGGATTAATGGAAAGCACATGTGGATCCTGATCATTTGAAAAGGGAATAATCTATGTCTATGGTCTGAAGATTTTGCAGGGCCTGTTGACAATAATTCAAGTAGTTAAAATGCAGTGGACACACAGAGCATGGATAGACCCTCTTATCTGAAACATTTTCAAAATAAAATCCTACATTCTATCTTGGGTGTCTCTGGGCTTCATCAACTGCAGAAATAATCCAGTATGACACTACTTTAACTGCCCTGGCTCAATGCTATGGAATTCTGGGAATTGTTGTTTTGTGAGACGTTTAGCCTTCTCTATCAGAGAGCTCTGGTGCCACAATAAACTACAATTCCCAGGATTCCCTAACACTGAGTGGCATCAGCCTGGGTTATTTTTGCAGTGCAGATGCAGCCCTAGTGCCACTGAAACACTCCCAGTTGACATGACTTTTCAATTTTTTATTTAATGTAGCTAGGACAACGGCATGTCTGTGGGAACTTCTCAAGAGCAATTATTATCTAACTCTTCCAAATTGTCCTTCTGGACTCAGAAAATAGCTTTATGGATCCGATGGCATCTTCCTCATTACATTTACTTGTTGGGATCCCAACTGCCAGCTGCTAAACTGAAATTAAAAACAGACTGGGGGGGGGAATTATCTCCAATAGCATAAATACATGGTACCCTTGTGTTTAGCACCGTCTAGGGTTTTTAAAGAAAAAATTGCTTGTCTAGGTTTTCAATGAAAAAAGCTTCGATGTTGCCAAGGTGCCCAAAATTCTCCCTGCGATTCCTGATGGACATTATCATCATGTTCCTTTCAATCTGTATTTGCACTGAGGAGGTAACAGAAGATGCTCTCTGCATTACAAGCTTTACTGTGCTATCTCTGAATGTTCAGACAGGTTCCTCCTATCTCTGCTGAAAGGTCATGTTTATTGGTCAAACGAACAAGAAGTACTTTTTTTTGGCTTGTCAATAGCAATAAGAACATCAAATCAAGTAGGGGCTATATTCTAACCTGACAGCTATTATTTTCCATCAGAATAACCCGGCCTCTTGTACTCCTGATTTGCTGCAATACAATAGCTCTCCGATTCTCTTCTGTAGGTGGTTAGGAGTTAACTTGTTCTGTTATTAACCATTTTTCTACATTAAAATTTAATGTATTAAATCCTCCCATCAACAAGTACACTTGAATCAAACAATTCTCTGTGCTTCTTGGGCCCTTTCTCTACAAAACAGAGACTTCCAAATGAATTTCATGGACCAATTTTTGCACCATCCATCAGTTAACCAACTGCCGTCAAGGTCCAGTGTCTGATGTGAGGCGTAAGATGCTAAGATGGAGCCATGCTCACATATCTATCAACACAGAGGGAGATTTTCCATCCCAACCCAATACAACCCATACACTGAGAATAACAACACTATCTGATGAAGTAGTCTCTCATCTATGAAGGCACATGCCACAACAATACATTGGCAGCCACAAGAGTCTTTGTTGTTTTTGCTGCAACTAACCAGCATGGCTATCTTCAACTCCTGTGTTATATATCTCTATATACACATAACAACAGTGCCATAACAGCCAGGATTCCCAATGTACGAGTGATATTGCCTCTTCTGAATGCATGAAAAGGGGGACAATTCCTTGGGATAGATGCCAAAAGCATAACAATGCTGATTATGAAATGCTTAGCTGGGAAGAGCTGAGCCTCCTTGACTGGATCCTGATATTGTTGTTTGTTATTGTTGTGTGCCTTCAAGTCATTTCCTACTTATGGGGACCCTACCCTGGGGTTTTCTTGGCAAGATTGATTCAGAAGAGGTTTGCCATTGCCTTCCCCTGAGGATGAGAGAGTATGACTTGTTCAAAGTCATCCATTGGGTTTCATGGCCAAGCTGGGAACTGAACCCTGGTCTCCAGGGTCTCCAGAGTTGTAGTCCAACACACAAACCACTACACCACACTGGCTCTTTCTATATACTAGAGAACATCAGAAATACAACTTCAACCTACCCACCTCATGTACAGTTGAGATGGATCTTGCTAAATGACAGGAAATCTTCCAGCCTACAAGTGTTTGGGATGATTACAGACTGTAAACCACTTAAAGAGTGCTGAGTTCACTATTAAGTGGTGTAGAAATGTAAATACTAAATCAGGGGTAGGCAACCTTTCCCCTTTAAGGGCCGAGGGACTTCAGCTCCCAGAATCCCAGGAGCTATTGGCTAACATGGGACTATTGGCCAACATATCTGAGGCTTCTGGGAGCTGAAGTCCCTCGGCCCTTAAAGGGGAAAGGTTGCCTACCCCTGTACTAAATGCTATTGATCCAAAAGGTGCCCCTTAATTTGTAGCAAGGAAAATGTTGGGAGAGTTTTGACCAACAAATTTGCATTCACCCCTGTATCTGAGGAGCAGACTCTGGTGACTCAGTGGTGAGAGAAAAGCATTCTGCACATGCTCAGAGAGACACTTAAAATTATGTCCTCCATATATTTCATGGATTGATGTGTCTTCCTGAATGGCAAGGAATGGGACTGGATTGCTCTTGTGATCACTTCCAAATCTATGATTCTATGAAACCTGCCATGAAAAAGGTGCTGGGGCTAAATTATACTGAGATCTGGCTCATACCATTATTATTATTATTATTATTATTATTATTATTAATTTCTTTCGCACCTCAGTCAATGGCTCCTTGTAAAGAGCAGTGGTAGCCAGTGACTTCCAGGCTTTAGAATAAACTTTAAAGGAGCTTTCCAGTGTGCTGTGCCAGTTTGGAGGTAAGGTTCAGCACCATGGATGTCTCCTTTAAAGTTCAGTTTAAAACCCAGCATGGAAGCCACCAGCTGCTACTGATAGAGAGGGGAGGCCAAAAATATTAAGAGCCTGCTTGGGACTCTGCCTCCCTCTCCCCATCTCACCTGGCTGGCCTGGTAGGGACAATTTTTCCTGGGACAGATGTGTTGGCAAGGTAGCAAAGTGCAGTCACATACAAAATCCACAAAACAGTGATACCATAATTGGCCAACCAAAATGCACAAGATATAAGCTGCAAGGTTTTAAAGGCTGAGCTGTTCTTCCTGACTTTTGGTCTTCCTCAATGCTTTGCAGGTGGCAGTTCAGCAGGTGCAACCTTCTCCTGGTCTGCAGTATCATTGAAGCTGTGGGAGAGAGCGACTGCATCTGGTGCCTTTCTACCTGTTACCTTTCTAGAAAGGAAGGAGATTTCCACCATGGGCTACACTGTCCTCCTCTCCTTTCTAGCCTTCCTTCCACCTTGACCCTGGGCCTGATGAAAAGTCAGCCTCAAGAGGACCCTCTTTGCCAATGGTTCCCAGAAGCTCATGACCAGGGCTGGACTGGGGTGAACAGAGGTCCTCCTCCATTTCAACCTCTTGTCCGGGAGGAATTCCAAAATCCCCCCCCCCCTTTGGAGCAGGACTAAGAAGCATGGATTAACATTTCTATGAGGGTTTTGAGCTTTTCTTTGGTCGTGTCCTCCATTTTTCTTGAAGGCCCTACATTTTGCAGTGCCTGGTCCTCCTTTGCGGTTAGGAGGACATCTGGTCACCCTGGGCTGGAGGGCCCAAAGGTAGGAACAGATACACTGCTTTGGAAGATGGAGACTTCACTAAAGAATCAGAACACAGAACCTCCTCCTCCTCTGCTTCCTCCTCCTCTCCCTCCTCCTCTCCTTCCTCTCCTCCTTTTTCTTTTTCTTTTTCTCTTCCTCTCCCTCCTCCTCTTCCTTCTTTCCTTCTCCTCTCCCTCCTCCTT